TTATTTACCAATAAACATGCTCATTAACTTTACATATTTTAAGAGTCTTAAGCAATGCTCTGTACTCTAATTTAAAACTATAAAATCATGACCTTTTTGATTTTTTATGCTCCATTAAGACTTTTGACTTGCATTTGCTGCAGAAATGATGTTTTCCACTTCTAAAGAACCAAAGAAAAACCACTAGTGCAATAAAATTTAACAGAATGTCTCATAAATCAGCTCAACTGTATGTAAAAAACTCTTAGCAACCTCAAAGGCCGGACCGAAACCAAAACCTTTAGAGACTGTGGCTGTTGCGCAGATCTGTGGAAGTGTTGGAACTTCATTTCCAGCTCTTGCTTCCATTTTATAGAGAACTTGGTGCTCTCAGAACAGATAAATCATTTTCTTTCAGCACTGAGAACATTTTGTTACGGCTATGTGGTCTGTTTAGAGTATCTTCAGCTCTTGTTTTATTCCAAAATGTTGCATTCTTTGGAAAAAATATCTAGTGTGATCCAGTGATTTCACAAACAGAGCACACTCACCCTATCAACTTTCCTTTTACAAGCTGTGAAAAATATGGCCAGTTTTCAAGAAAGTCATGATGAGAAATGAATGCTGGTCTTGTATCACCTCATCTTCTGGGAACTGTTCGATTTCACATAGAGTCAAGTGACACGGAATGATTTTAGCATATTGGATGTCTATGTTCCCCTTGAATTTACAAGGTGGCATCGGAGAAGATTGTGGCCTGCATTGCTTTTTCATTTCACACTGGACAGTCGGAGACAAAAAGATCTGAAGCAAGAGTGACCTCCCTCTGTAGTTACAAAGTGTGTGGAGCAAAATTGAGTCCCCGACGTGATACAGGCCTTTTTTGGAGGCTACATGGAAAGAATTTTGCCCTGGCTGCCTTGCTTGATGCAAGCTGCAATCTCTTCTTCACCTGCTGCCTGTGTACTGGGAGACAGGAACCGTTGGGAGAGGTCCCAGCACTACACTACCTGCTCCATTCGTTTGCTAGTTCAGGATAACTGGCTTTTAAAAGGAATGGTACAGTGGCAAATATTCATCAGATCTCCCTAAATATTTACACATTCATCAGGATTTGATATCAGTGTTAGAGCTAAGCAGGAAAAGAAGGTGAATCCCTCATTAAAAAGCAGTATGACTAATGATGCATCAGAATGAGTAGCCATTACTCCACTTAAATCTAAATTAAAAATCGTGGTATTTGCATTGTCAGTTAACTCACAAAATGAAATCTCTTATTACCTTACCCAGTTTTCATTACCGAGATGTAAGTGGATCTCAAATTGCTTTTTAGTCTGAACAGCCTTTAAAAGTACAATCACTGATCATCTCTGTTCATCATCATTGTTGAAGATTATCTCAATTAATGGGCAACATGTCTTTAATAAATTACCCTTCAGGTAAAATCACTTCACATTTCTAGAGTCACCAGGAATTTATCAGCAAAATAATTTTCTCTTGAACTAAAGTCTCTTTAACTGAACTTTTATTGGGAATGGTTTCTAAGGTGAAGTGCAGAGACGAGAAGGAAAGAGACAGAACAAGATGGAGACTGAGAGAGATCTGAGGAGACTCATATTCAGTCTTTGCTTCAGAAGAAATAGAAGAAAAAAGAAAGGAGAGGAGAGGAGAGGAGAGGAGAGGAGAGGAGAGGAGAGAGGAGAGAAGGAAAATAATCAGAAAGTAAGCATCTCCAAACTTTCACCATGTAGAAAGTAGTTTTCTACTTCACAGAAGTAGAAAATCTCACCCAGGGCTGATTCAATTCCCTTACATGCAGCATTACCTCCCTTCACAGATCCAAGAGCGGAGAAAAAGTCTGCACATCCAGTCCCTTCACCTTAAATACAACGCTGTGTTACATGTTGCCACAGCACAACGGTGGTCCATCACACCCCCTAACTCTTTATCATCTAGAAATAATTACGTGACCTTACTTACTGCTAATTTTTTCAACAAGGCAGAATTTGAAGTGACCTGAGAAGATACCATGATTGGACCAAAACTCAAGATCTTTGTCAGTCCTGCTATGCAGCCAATGGATCTAAAGTATGTCCCTCCTTTCAGGGAAGCCAGTTGTGCCTATTTGTATCAGCAAAAAAGAATGGAACCAACAAATCAGATGTCAAGAAAAACGGCCTGTAAACCCGATTTTCTGTTTTCTAGACATGGAATTTAACTATGAAAATAGAAAATTAACTATGAACATGAGTGGACACTGACGGACATTGAAAAATATTTTCCATAAAAATATATATTTTTAAAATATTCTATATACAAATTAAGGTTTTGGTACCTAACAAGTTCTAAAATTGAATAAATAAAGACAAAAGCAAACAAAAAAAAACAAACATAAAACAGCAGACACTTGTTTCTATCAAAGCTTCCTATTCTGCTGGCAGACAGAAGGAATGGTGGCCTCTGACTTTTTGACCTGATGTGCTGAGTGATTCAATTTGGAAATAACACAAATAACACAGGAAGATGGATGGTGTTTATGGTATTTTAAGGTCAAGGTACTACAAAGAAACATTTATTTTCCTTTCTGTTTCTGTGCAGTAAAGCCAAATCACTACTATGGCCACACCGAAACAACTGTGAAGATAAAGTGTTGAAAACTTATAGACAACTTAGATAAATTATCTTTTCTATTACAGCTTGGTGTACTTCTGCTGGAACGAAGAAAAAAGACGACAAGGATTTAATTCTTAAACACTTTGATGAAACAAAATGAAGCGTTCTTAACAGAAGCTAAACACAGAAAGACAGAAATTTACTTGACAGATATTTGCCAACACTTATGAAAGAGATTAGTAAAACTCTAGAACAACTTCAATTAGCATTAAGTTCTGAAGTAATGGAGGAAAATTGCAAAGCAATACTGTCAGCTTCCCAAAACTAACGAATTAGCATTCAAAACAGGGTTATATAAGCAGCCTTTAACTGAAAACACGATGTTCTCCTCTGACATAAGCTGCAACAGCTAAACTCTGTACAGAGGTAAAAAAAATTAATTACAAATGATCAGTTTGACTCTGTGCCCTATGGAAACATTAGAGCCTTTGCTGAGAATAGCAGCTTTGCTTTTCCCCCTGTATTGCAGTGTCCCCTTGCAGCAACTGAGGTGTTTAAGCACCTCAGAGGTATCCAGGGCCACTGCAGGTGCCACCGGAGTATCCGGGATCCCTGCAGAGCCACATCCCGCCAAGGCCCCGTGGGACAGCCTAGGTGACACCAGAGGACTACGCTGAGCACCTGAGCTCTCCTGCTGCCACCTTTCCAAAATGCACTTTTACCTTCCCGCATGGTGAAAGATCCCTTTCCTGGTCCACATGCCATGTGAAGCAAAATCCAGCAGCAATTTTAAGAAGGCCTGGATTCCTAGAATGTATTTTCCAATGGCAACCACAGTCCCTTTATAAATATATAAATATATACTGAACTAAGAGGAGAATCAACTATAAATCACTTACTCAACTATAAGTCACTGAGATCAGACTGAAGATTTCCATTTTGGAGACTTTATTCACACCCATTGAAAAGATTCTCTTTGCACAAATGAGCCTCACCAACCCTCAGCCCTTAGAGAAACAAGCAGTTATCATTTTAGTGGCTACTCACTTGCCTACAAAACACAGGATTTCCTTTAGCAGTGATTTAAATACTAAGAGTAGAGATACTGGTCTCCAACAATAGGGCATTAGCATCCCATCCTGACAATACAAGCCCAAAAGAAACTTTATGATGTGAGGAACTCTCCGTATGTCAAAAAGTCATTCTTATTGAATATTCTAGTTTCACCCCATAAACCTCAGATATTAGATCAAAAAGTGTTGATACCTGGGCTTTAGATTATATGTTTTTGTGGGGAAGAACAAAGAAGAGGTTTTGATTTTTGTACACTACATCAGGCTGTCTTCATCTTTATGGACTGCTGTACTGTCCCTTACTTGAATTACTTCCCTGTCACTGCAGTACAAATACTTAAACCTACTGAGAATAATTCTTTGCACTATAATTGTCCTAGTAATTGAAACTGCCTCAGTTTTGACACTCGACAAGCCATTGTTTGCAAGTGAGTAATTAAATGGTTTAACCTGAAAACTTTTACTGTTATCCCAAAGAACACGCTGGTCCTGCAGCCATTTAGCTAAAAGTATCAACTTCTTTTGCAAGCAATTAGTTTTGA